TTTCAATTTCTAGTTAATTTATTAATCATATAATAAAATAACAAATCAACATTTTCCTCCAAAAGTCATTCTAACCAAATACTAGTTTTGAGGGCAACCCAAAAATGACTTTGCTTCTAATTCTAGAATATACCAATTTAGTTATTGGCTTAGACACCTTAATCCTATAGTTACTCACTTGGATAATTATGTAACTACAAATGGAAGTATAAACATTGAATTAAACCGCAAAGAGTGCTTTCCAAAGCCACTGCTAAACTCTGATTCAAATCAACTATTGGCCCTAAGATAAGTGATAAGTTATTCCTTCATTCTACAAGATATCGCATGAACTGAGTTATGGATTAAATGATCAACCTCATTTTCATTTACTCTATTTCCTGATTTCCCGATTTGTGATTAATTTAGACTACAAAATCGAGCACACAAATTTGGTTCGGACCAAGCGCCTGTTTTTTCATAGATCAACTCAAATCACCGAGGGGACCACATATGTTGCTTTTTTTATTCAGGCATGTTGTGATATGTCTCCAGATTAACTCCATCTCTTTGAAGGATTGAATGAAGGGCCTGCAAATCACAACAAAGGAAACAAAATCGTCAGTCTTCATCCGGGAGGCAGTCCCGGAATGAAGCTCCGACGATCAAGTCAGTTTGTCTCTTAGATAGAAGGTGAAAAGGTATTAGGCAAGTGTTTAAGGGTTTATTTCTCGATCCCTTCTCTTGGAGGAGAAGGGGACTTTTTATACATGTGGTCGGGGGGATAGATCCCTGACAGTATCTTTTACTTTTTCTGGGTTGGCAGGGATAGATGGCCTTTGGTTGGCAGATCATGCTCTATGAGTAGTCGTTTGCCATTGGTACAGGTTTCCAGGAGCAATGTTCTGAGCGCTACAATTGTCTCTCTGAGAGGCGATTGGTACTATTTATCTTGACACTGGCTTTGGCGCTTGGGCGCCAAGGAATAAATATAGGATCGCGAGAGCGAGGACTCGGCGTTAGGCATATGTAGTGACAAAGAACATGGTTTGGCATGCAGAATTAAAGATTGCACAATTAAACATGGTGATTTGGGTGATCAAGAGATGTATTGATTGTATATGGTGATACAACAAGGATCTAGATCTAGACTACATAAATAACACACACTTACACACTCAACTTTTACATCCCTCAAGTACACCTCTACAAGTGGACAAACCCACCTTATATAGAGGTGTTACATGTCTCTATCTCTCATGTGTCAAAAGGCAAATACTCCACATGCAAGTGGGTTTTACAAAAGTCAAATATTTACAAAGTCAATCATGAATAACTTTGTACCCCAACATTCTCCCCCTTAAAGTTAGGAATGAATGACGCACTTCAAATCTTTCAAAATCGAGCAACTATGCGGTTAGAGCCTCAAAGGTGACACATGTCGAAACAAACATCAATCTTCAATTCTTCCATGATTCTTCAATTTGGGCTCTAGGATGTGAGACCATACAAACCGAGCAGCAACGAATGATTAACTCCAAATAATCACCCAAAAGTTGCGCATAAAAACACACCCCAAAAATACTCAATAAAACCAAACCCATTTCGAATACATCACTTCTGAACTTCCAATTGCATCATTTCATAAGCTTCAAAACTTCAAGATCATGTCGGTCTTCAAATCCGCGTAATATAAAAAACTCATGTTCGAATCCCCAAAATATACGAAGAATCCCCAAAATATACGAAGCTCCATTTTTTTTTTTTTTTAATTTGGGTGAAAAGTATCAAACATTCGAAACTTGGTTTAATTTTCGAAGTGTCAAAAATTCGAAGGTCCAGGGGCTGAATTCGAAATTTTTTGCTATTTGATCAAATCATACAAAACTTTGATTCATACGAAGGGTTTTGAAAAGGTGCAAAACAGTCAAAATTTCAGGGGCCATTTTCGTAACATTTGCACACTTATTCAAAACACATGAAATTTCAATTCTTCATATGAAATCTTGTCCGCCCTTCGTACGAAACTTCATCTTCCCCTTCAAACACGAAGCATACGAAGCCTTACCTAGTAGAGTAACCTCTTCGTTCTTACAGATCTTCCCAAATCATTGACCACACTACAACAAGTCAACCATCTATACTTCGCCATCGACACTCTCGCTTCAACCCTTCGAATCTTAAATCCCATTCGACTATTGGCCATGAATAATCGACTCCAATCATTCAAAATCAAAAATCAAAGTTCTTCAACTGTTCGTTCTTCGTTAACTTTAGTCAATTGACCCTTCGTTAACAATAACTCCATTTGTTGCCCTTCGAATCTTATTCATCCAAACATCATGATTCCAAACCTTCGTGACTCAATATTTGATCCAAATCAAAATCATTATCCAGTTCATTCTCATATCCAAACATCACCCTGTTCGTCAATCGATTTATCACCAAACCATTCGAATATCAATCAACTACCTGTTCATCAAATTGAATTTCCCAATCTCCAACTATAAACATCGAACAATCTACTCTTGAGCTATCGACTGTAATACTTAATCTGACCTTCTCATACGTACTATCAAATCTCGAATCCAAACCATCAAGCAACAATCCTTCGAAATCGATTTCAAGAAACAAACAAAAAGTGTATGAATTGTTATCGGCACCAAGAATTCAATTCAAATCAATTTTCGAAATCAACCACCAAATCAAGTATGATTTCAAGATCTATAACCTTGAAATAATTTGTATCAACTAATTTCAGTCTCCAATTACATCGAATCATCTCTTTAAATCTTAATTTTGACTTTTGAAGTCAAAGATAATAAAACACAAAATCAATGAATCTTCACCAAATTTCATATCAGAATGTGTGTAAAGACCTCATCTAGACATGTTTTTGACAAAAATTTGAGATTTCTAGATTAATTTCTTCAAATTCAAAGAATCAGTCGACGACATCTAAACAAGACTTTGAACAAAAATCGATTTTAAGAATGAAAACAAAACATAAAATCGATTCATAAGATCATTTTAACAATCAAACTAATCACTAATCGATTGTACTGAATCATTAAACTGAAATCGAAACTCAAGAATGATGACGCAATAAACGAATTGGTTGGATTATCATAATGTACAACTCTTATATGCACATGATAAAGAATGATGAATTATGGATGAGCAAAAACCGAACCGAAAATCATAAAACCGAAAAAAAACTGACATAACAGAAACCGAAAAACCGAAATCAAAACAATAACCAACGGTTTAGGTTTGAATTTTACAAAACCGAAAAATAACTGTTTGGTTCGGTTTTGACGTATAAAACCGCCCATAAAAACCAACCCGGCCCACATATATATTATTTAAAATGTTTTAAACTTTAGTTTTAGACTTTAGACTTTATCTCTTTAATACTTATATGTTTATTTTCAACAAACTGTTAATGGTGTTTAACTTTGATCTTTTGAACATTTTTATACTTTTCTAATACTAGAATTCGTACTCTTTATTTTAGTGTATTTAAAGTAGATACAATACTATTTATCGCAACGTATTTTCACTAGCTTTGAACCCAAAAACTAGAAACAAAAATAGGAGCTCATAAACCCATGGTTTAAAATCGAAAACCCATAAACCCAACCCGGAAAACCGAAAAACCGAACCATGCAAAAACCGAACCTATATGGGTTTAAAAACCAAAAAACCAACTTTCTACGGTTTGGTTTAGTTTTAGCCAAAAACCAACCCAAACCGACTCATGCTCATCCCTACGACGAATCACCGAATCTGATATCTAATTATAATGAACTTTTGGGCTATTTGTTTCAAGATAATAGATCAAAAATTAACGAATTGTTGGGCTTAAAATGTTAATTAACAGTTTCGAATCTTAAAACATGGACTCAAGATAACAAAATATACTAACGGATTCATAACATGATTTTTGGTCCAAATTGTTGATTTAGACAAATAATTGCAATTAAGAATCAAATCGAACAACAAATATGAGATTGGATTGGGCTTTGATTAAAAAGAAAATTTTGGATCAGAACAAATGGGGTTTTCAAAAAAAATTTTGATCCAATGAGTCAAATGGTCATGAATCAAGAATGCAACACACGATTCAATTGTTACGAGAGATCATAGAGAGAGACTCACCAAAATTGCTCAAATTGCAACAAAAGTTGCCAAACCGAGAATCGTTCTTCAAAAATCACCTTGATCTTGAAGACCCGCTCTGATACCAATTGTAGTGACAAAGAACATGGTTTGGCATGCGGAATTAAAGATTGCACAATTGAACATGGTGATTTGGGTGAACAAGAGATGTATTGATTGTATATGGTGTTACAAAAAGGATCTAGATCTAGACTACATAAATAACACACACTTACACACTCAACTTTTTCATCCCTCAAGCACACCTCTATAAGTGGACAAACCCGCCTTATATAGAGGTATTTACATGTCTCTCTCACTCTCTATCTCTCATGTGTCAAAAGGCAAATACTCCACATGCAAGTGGGTTTTACAAAAGTAAAACATTTACAAAGTCAATCATCAATAACTTTGTACCCCAACAGCATAAGTCGCTCTTTGACCAAACCGTCTATCAGACTGACGGTTCCACTATTTTTGACGTATTCCCGATGGGAAACGTTAACAAGTCCCCTAGGCTAGTAGACGTCATTTTTCGCTTAGGGTAGCTGAGTAGTTCTAGCATAGATCTAGGCATACGTTTGGTGAGAACAGTTCATGGCATGTTTCTGATGTAATAGAGCCATTCTGGCGAGGTAGCATCGTTTCGTTTCGTTTCTTCTTTTCTTTTTTTTATGTAAGGGCCATCTATCTTCGGAACGGTTATACGGTTCCTCTCTCCATAATTCTTCGTCTCATCCTTTTTTATCATTTCTCCTTTCTCCCACATTTTTCCTCTCTGATTCTTGATGGCCTTTGTTAGATACGAAATCGCTCCTACATCCGAGGAGTTTGAGTCTCTTCAATTCTGGTTTAGGTTCATGCCTGATCATGGAGTTCAATTCCCGTCAGAAGGTTCTACAATTTATCAACCGCCAGCGGGGAAGGTGGGTATTCCGGTAGCAGTCTTCGAGGTCGGGTTTCACCTTCTTGTTTCTGATTTCTTCGACGAGGTTGTGAGAGAATATGTGTTCATGACTTGACCCCAAACACTGTGAACAAGATAGTTGGGTTTGAGTTAGGGTGTCGAACGTTGGGTGTGCTTCCCCATCTTCAAGCATTCCAATCTTTCTTCAATTCGTCTACCCATTTGGGTGTTTACACTTTTTCTCAGCGCTGTAACACACATTCCTTTATAGTTAACCAAAAAGTGCCTCGGAAGAACTGGCAGGATCGGTGGCTGTGGGTTAATAGTGATTTGGTCAGGGTTGGCTATCCTCGTGTGCCCATGGATTCGGATCGGGCGCCCCAACTATAGGGGGTTTGTTTTTCGGTGGCCGGCGCGTTAAGAGGGATATGTTTTAATGATGAAGATTGGCCAGACTATGTATTGGTAGTAGCTGGAATTAGCGCTGCTTGGCGGTCACATGGAAAGATGCCTTAGTTTTTTGTGGACAATGATCTATGTGCTACTTTCCTACCCCCTCCCCCCTTTTTTCCTTTCTTTATTTGATATCAAGTTTCTTTTGTTGAAAAGAAAGGGTTTTTGTGTTGTTAATGTTGTAGGTAGAGAGAGGCTTTTGTCTCTTGAGAAAGTGCTACGAGGGGAATTTGAAGGGGATCTTCAGTATCACGAAGTCCCTCAAGTGGAGATGCTAATGGCTCCAACCAAAGTTGACCCTGTTTTTTAGGGCGGTGTCCCTCCTGTTGAGGCGGGGATTAGGGATGCTTCTCTAGCCAGGGGACCAGGTGTGGCTTGCGGTTAAGGCGTTTCCCGATATCGGTCTGCTGCTGTGGATGCTGTTCTCGAGGAGGATATCGGTGGCAGTACTATTCGTCAGCGTTTCCGTTGGAAACACAACATCGATCCTCTGCTCGCTAAGTCACCCATTGTTATTGAGATTGCTGATGGTGATGATCTACAATCAATAGAGATGGTGGGTTTGCATCGGTTGGGAGAACCAGGGGTTTTGGGCACTCGCTCCATCCCGCCCTCGGTTTCAGGTGATGCCCTATCGACGGTGGGTCCTTCCTCTTTGGGTACTCCTGGTGTGCATCTCCCAGGATGGAACCTTACACACGGTTCCCTTTTAACTGAACAGGGTCCCTCCGTGAGTGGTTCCGACATGCGTTTCCTTCTGGTACCCTGGAGGCTCTCGATGCTCTTTCTTATTCTCACATGGCGAACGATCTTCAGTATGCCACTACTCAGGTTGCTCCTTACTTGGTGGCAGCTGTTGGTCATCTTTGTTACGTAGGGTCCAATTTAGTAGATTTGGTTGCTGTTAAATCAAAGCATGACGAGCTTGTGGAGAAGGTTTGGCTTCTCAAAGAGGAGCGACACAAGTTTGATGAATGCTACCTCATGCTGTCTGGGGAGAAGACTATTGTAGAAGCTCAGGTGGCGACTCTGCATGGGGAGGTTAGTCTCTTATCCAAGAAGGTCTAGAATTTGGTCTCAGAGAAAGAAACATTGGCGGAGCATTTGGCACTGCGAGACGACCAGTTCGCCACTGAGGTCTCGAGGAGGAAAGTCTTGGAGGCTGATTTAGCTTGGGTTCTTCAGAAGAGTGTGGTTCGTGTGGTGGACCGTGTTGTCGAGAGTAGTAAGTTCATGATTTGGAATTTTTATATGAAGGCCACATGTGTGGCTACTGGTATACAGAGAGAGAAGGAAATAGAATGAGTGTGGTCGGTTGGCAGTGGTCCTAACTCGTCCAATTCGAACGTTGCAGCACGGTCTGTCGATGCAATGCATGTTGCCATCATGGATTTTTACGAGATGGACTTCGCGTGCTATCTCTTTTTGGGAGAGCTCATCCTTGCTGATCTTCACCAATTATGTTTTGAAGAGGAGGAACTCGTTTTAGACGGTGGCGTTGATGGTGTTGCTTCGACTCAACCTCGCTAGGGTTGATTTTTGTTGTGTGTTTTTGTATGCTTGTTTTTTTTTTTTTTTTTTTTTTTTTTTTTTTTTTTTCATTTTTTGTATGTACTTTCTAGAATGTTATTGTATTCAACTTTGTAGGGTTTTCATCGTTAGTGTTTGCCCATTTTCGTGAGCTTCTCCTTTTGCTTGGGGAGGTGTCTCCCCAAAGAGTATTTTATATGCCTTGCTTTTGGTCCTTAGTTGAGTGACCAAGTGCCTCCCTTTTATGGTCGCTTAAAGTGAGCCGATATCATCACATCGAGACTCCATGAACTCGTGTGTGTTAAGTTGTTAGTGGAATGTTATGTTCCTTTAAACCCTTTGAGCATGTTTGGTTCGAGATCCTAGAAGCTTTATTACTTGTTTGAACCGGCATGTTCATAGAGGGGTCATCTCCTACTGAGATTTGTGGCTGCATTTTGGCAGTTTGTTTTGCTCAAACGATGTGGGTGATCAGCCCGTGTTGTCGTATGGAAAATCCACGCACCCCTTTTTCTTTGTTTTTGTTCCTTGTGTTTGTATTTATGTTTATATACGTATGTTCGTACGTCGACTAGTAAGATTAGTCTACTATCCTGCAAAACTTTATTAATCGGAACGTTTTGGAGACAACTTAAGGATCTTCATGTTAACATTTGAACAAGGTGGAGCTCTTAGGATGGAGGTATGGTCGTCACTACCCCCTCCTTTGGTTACACCATTTGCCAATTGTTTTACAAATAAAAGTGGCACAGGTTGCACGCATTCCATGTTCGGCGTATCAGTCTCCTTTCTTGTGCTTCTAGTGTGTATGCTCCGTCTCGGTGCGTCCCTACTACTTTGTATGGTCCTTCCCAGATCATGCTTAGCTTGCCCAATAGCTCTGAGTGGCTAGCCTCGTTCTTCCTCAGCACATACTCTCCTAATTTGAAGTTCTTTACCCGCACCCATTTTTTGTAAAAGTTTTATGTACGGGATTTGTAGGCTGCTTGTCGTAGTTGATCAGGGTGACATTTCTCATCTAGCTAGGTCTTGTCGTTGCTCTTCCTCATTCGAGCCTCCGTCGAAACCTGTTACCCGCAATGATTCACACAGAATCTCGAGTAGGAGCACCGTTTCTGTGTCATATATCAGGCTAAAGGGCGTCTCTCCCGTCCCTGACCTCGCGGTAGTACGGTTTGACCAAAGTACTATTGGTAATTCTTCCGTCCAAGCCCCTTTTGTTTTCATCAGGCGTTTCTTAAGCCCATTCACGATGGTCCTATTTAATACTTCGGTCTGTTCGTTTGCGTGTGGGTGTGTGATGATGGATTCGCTTCTCCTCGCACCATTCTTTGAAGGGACTTCCCTCAAAGTGGGTGTCATTGTCGCTTATTAGGACCTTGAGGGTGATGAACCGAGTTAGAATAATTTTCCACATGTATCTGATCATCTGTCTGCTAGTGAATGTGGCTAGGGGCTCCGCTTCAATCTAATTCGTGAAGTAGTCAACTGCGACCAATAGGAACTTCAATCCCCATAGGGCTGTCAGGAAAGGTCCTATGATATCGATGCCCCATTGGTGGAAGGGCCATAGGCTGTTGATGCTGGTCATGGTTGTCGTTGGTTGGTTCTAGAATGGGGCGAATGCCAGGAATTTTGGGCATTTCTTTGTGACCCTCACCATATATTTATACATGTTGGGCCAATATACCCCTAAATGCAGTATTCTGCCCATGAGCGCATGTGCCCCCTCGTGTTCTCCAACTTCATCCGAGTGGCTTTCCTCTTGGAGAACTTGGCCTTCTTCGTGCGAGATGCATCTGAGCCATGGCGCTAGGTACCCTCTCATGTACAGTTGCATGCCTTTTACAGTGAATTGGGTGGCTTTGGTTTTTATATTCTTGGCCTCTTCCAGGTCATCCAGGATGATCCCATGATGCAATTAGTCTAGGTATGGCTTTGTCTAGTCCGACAATTATGCGATGGCATCAACTTGCTTGTTGTCAATGCTTTTTTCTTCGAGGGCCTCTACAAGTACCTTCTTAGATAGGTGTTCAAAGGACATCGATTCCAACTTGCTAAGAGCATCGGCTCTTGTATTATCCCCCCTGGGTATTTGTTTGATTTTGTATCTATTGAACGAATGTGCTAACGCGGTGTCTTTTCTAGGTATCTTTGTATCTTTCGATCTTTGGCCACGTAAGTGACATTGACCTGGTTGGTTATCAGTAGTGAGTCACTGAATGCCCGGAGATGTTTCGCTCTGACTTCTTGTACTAATCGGAGTCATGCGAGGAGTGCTTCATACCCGACCTTGTTGTTCGAAACCTAAAACTCGAATCTTAGGGTGTATGTTATTTCATCTCCCCAGGGTTTTTTAAGGATTAGGCCTACACCTGAGCCCTCCTTACTTGAGGCGCCATCAGTATGTAGTTCCCATATGTATTTTCTTGCCTCGGGCTCTAGCGGGTCTGCTGGTAAGACCTTTGGTGTTCCTCTAAGTGCGTCTGGTATTTCTACTAAGAAGTCTGCTAAGGCCTGCACCTTGATAGTGGTCCGTGGATGGTAATATATGTCGTGCTCCCCCAGTTCTATTACCCATTTCGCTAATCGTCTTGACTTTTCAGGTCTCAGCAGGACCTGTTTTATTGGGAAGCTATCAGCACTTCAATTTTGTGTTCTTGAAAATAGCATCGTAGGCATCTGACAGTGTAAATTAGGTCCAGTACCTGTTTTTCTAAGACTGGGTAGTTGATTCAAGAGCCTTGCAATGCCCTGCTTATGAAATGTATTGGTGACTTCTTCTTGTTTCTCTCTACTTTTAGTACTGATGAGATGGATTCATTGACCATTGTGAGGTATACCTATAAGGTTTCTCGGTAGAGGGGGCTCACCATTGTTGGTAGCTAACGAAGGGCCTCCTTTAAGCATTGGAGGCCTCGATCTGCATCTTTCATCCATTTGAAGTGACTCTTGTTGACACACCCTTTCAGTGTGTGGAAGAGTGGTAGGGCTTTTTCTGCCAATTTGGTTATGAATCTGCCTAATGCAGTCAACCTCCTGTTGATTTCCTATACCCCTTTTATGCTGTATGGGGTCTTGGAATCGAAGAATTCCTGAATCTTGACTTGGGTTTGATTCCCTCTTTAGTTATTCGATATCCCAGGAACTAGCCCTCTTTAACCCTAAAAGTGCATTTTCCCGAGTTGAGTTTCATCTGTGCTCGTGCCAGGGTCTGGAGGGTCTCCTCGACGCCTTGGAGCAACATTGCTTCGTTGCGACTATTAATGACCATGTCGTCGACATATACTTCCAAATTCTTTCCAATATGCTCTTTAAAGACTTTATCCATAAGGCGTTGGTATGTTGCACTGGCATTTTTAAGGATGAATGGCATTTTCTGGTAGCAGAACATGCCTCGATCGGTGAGGAAGTTCGTCTTTTCCTCGTCTTCCCATCGCATATGGACTTGGTGATAGCCTTTGTAGGTGTCAAGAATACATTTGAGTTGGAATCCTTCCAGAGATTCAACCTTCTGGTCTATTTCCGGGAAGGGGTAGTGGTCTTTTGGACATGCATTATCCGGGTCGGAACAGTCGATGCACATTCGCCACTAGCCTTAGTGTTTCTTTACCATTATCGGGGTTGCTATCCATGTAGATAACATTGCTTCCTGAAGGATGCCTGCATGCACAAGCTTTGATACCTCGTCATTGATTACCTTGTTACTATCACTTGCCTTCCCCTCTTTTTTTTCTTTATCGGAGCATTGTCCGATATAATGTTTAGACTGTGTTCGATGATCTTTCGGTCCACTCCAGTCATATCTGCAGGCTGCCATGCGAATACCCTAGCGAAATGTGTTAGTAGTGAAACTAGTTGAACTTTGGTTTCTAACAATAGGTCGGCTCTTATATTTATTGCTTGTTCAGGGTGTTCGCATTGTATTATGTGCTTTTCTAGTGGGTGGTCTACTTTAGATTTCTTGGGGGCGTTGACCAAGTCTGACACCGCCATTATTTGGTGAATCCGCCTATGCGGAGTGTCGGCGACAATGGTTGCCGATCCGGACCGTGGCCTAATTTTACTGTACCGTGACACTAAAACTATAAATAGAGCCGCAAATAATCCCTAATGAGAGATCTTACACCCTAAATTGATTCCTGCGATTATAAACCCCCAAGAAGACGTTTTGAGTGTCTAGGAGGCGGTCGGAAGGCCGTTAAGCTGATATGGAGCGAAGATCTAAAAGATTGGCGAGCAAATTTATGTTGGTAATGATGTATTTTGTTAATGTGAACATGTTTAACATTCCATTTTGATTCTAGATGCAATTACTTTCTGATTTGGGTGTTAAAACCCTTTGCTTTGTGTTTATGATTAGATGAAACCTTGATTTATGGATTAATTGCTATTTGGTTTGCTTTATTCTTGTTTAATTTATCTTGTTAAGCTTGTTAAAAGATCCTCATGTGTTAATGCCAATTATTTTATGTTAATAACCAAGTATATTGAGTTGTAAAAACATATTCTTGATTGCTTGCATCGTATAGTTTTTTTGAAAACAAGATTATATGCCTAGTATTAGTGAACATGAACCTAAGGTTAACTAGAAAATAATTAAGTTAATGTGTGAGCATATGTGATGAACAACCACATATGAGTTGATTGAATTGACAAATTTAGTTAACTAATATTACAAGTCTTGCTTGATACGAACTGAACACTACGAAACATGTTAGTTTAATCAACTGATCACTGCTTGAATTGACTTGTTTGTTAAGGGAATAGTAATAGTGAACATGAACCTAATCATTTTAGAAATCGGTGAACATTAATAAATAATTATGTGTGGGCTGCGCGTTGATATTTGGAGGGATTATTATTTCGAAGAGTGATGTTTCTAACTATACATTAATTCCTAGGACATGGATGAGTTGTTCCCATGCCATGGAGTTTTATTTTGACACGAAGCAGAATTATTGTCCCGGCTGCCACAACATGGTTGACACTTTCCTATG